CCCGTGGCCGCAATAGTCCCCTCAACAAAAGTGACTGTCTTTCCCTGGGACACCCACCTTTCTCCAGATTTAGAACCAGAGCAGGTAAAATGGTCTCTTCTTCCTTCTATGTTTACTTTCCAGGAGCGGTTTCAAACACCAAACAATAAATATATCCTGAGTCACTCCATATGGCATGCCAGGCATAAAGCTTCCATTATATTATATTTTATTGTTTAAATATATTTTTATTGATTTCAGAGAGGAAAGGAGAGGGAGAGAAAGATAGAAACATCAATGATGAGAGAGAATCATTGATTGGCTGCCTCCTGCACATCCCACACTGGGGATGGAGCCCGCAACCTGGGCATGTGCCCTGACCAGGAATCAAATCTAGGGCCCTTCAGTCAGCAGGATGATGCTCCATCCACTGAACCATGCCAGTCGGGCCTTCCATTATATTTTAAAATTTCTTTTCTTTCCATTTCTAGAACTAAACTGCAAAGAGACAAGAAAATGAAAGCTCAGACAATTAAGAAATCTGCCCAAAGCATCACCAATAACTAACTGTGAAGTGATAACTTGAACGTAGTTCTCACCAACTGCAAAGCATTCTCTATGCATACAACTGCTGTGGAGCAATGGCTAACATCACAGGCTCTCAAGCCTTACTGACTGGGTTCAAATCTCAATTCCACTACTTACTAGCTGCATCACCTTGAACAACCCTGTGTCTTAGTTTTCTATTTTATCAAACTAGAATGATACTGATCCCCCCACATTCACAGTTTGTCCTAAGTAATGAAGCAGTAACGGGCACATAATAAACAGCCTAGGGACTGGCTCTTTCTGTGATCGAAGGAGTCTGTCCTTCACTGCTGTGTCCCTAGCACTTAGAATAGCTCCTACCACATAGTCGGCAACATCTACACTAATAAAAGAGAAACATGGTAATTGGCGTACGACCGCTACCCTTCCCATTGGCTAATCAGCATATCCTTATGCAAATTAACTGTCAGCCAAGATGGCGGCCGGCAGCCAGGCAGCTGGAAGCGAACATGAGGCTTCCTTGCTTCAGTGACTGCAGACTCCAACGTTCCCCGCCTCACTTGCCAGCCTCTGAGTTGCAACTCTAAGCAACAATGTACTATGTTGCAAATAAGAAGCTAAACAAAACCCTAGAAACCAGCTTTCAGCCTGCCGGGATCTCAGAGCTGAAGTTATACATTGTTTCGATTATAGAATGGCAAACAAACCAGATACAAAGCCTCAGAGCTAGAGCCAGAGCTAAAGCTGGCCCAGAATAAAATAAAAAAAGAGAAAAAAAAGGAGCGGTTGGGAGCTTCAGTCAACAACCGCCAGCCTGAAAGCAGCCCTCAGCCCCTCACCCAGACTGGCCAGGCACCCCAGTGGGGACCCCCACCCTGAAGGGGGTGTGACCAGCGGCAAACAGCAATCATCCCCTCATCCAGGCTGGCCAGGCACCCCAGTGGGGACCCCCACCCTGAAGGGGGTGTGACCAGCTGCAAACAGCCATCATCCCCTCATCCAGGCTGGCCAGGCACCCCAGTGGGGACCCCCACCCTGAAGGGGGTGTGACCAGCTGCAAACAGCCATCATCCCCTCATCCAGGCTGGCCAGGCACCCCAGTGGGGACCCCCACCCTGAAGGGGGTGTGACCAGCTGCAAACAGCCATCATCCCCTCATCCAGGCTGGCCAGGCACCCCAGTGGGGACCCCCACCCTGAAGGGGGTGTGACCAGCTGCAAACAGCCATCATCCCCTCATCCAGGCTGGCCAGGCACCCCAGTGGGGACCCCCACCCTGAAGGGGGTGTGACCAGCTGCAAACAGCCATCATCCCCTCATCCAGGCTGGCCAGGCACCCCAGTGGGGACCCCCACCCTGAAGGGGGTGTGACCAGCTGCAAACAGCCATCATCCCCTCATCCAGGCTGGCCAGGCACCCCAGTGGGGACCCCCACCCTGAAGGGGGTGTGACCAGCTGCAAACAGCCATCATCCCCTCATCCAGGCTGGCCAGGCACCCCAGTGGGGACCCCCACCCTGAAGGGGGTGTGACCAGCTGCAAACAGCCATCATCCCCTCATCCAGGCTGGCCAGGCACCCCAGTGGGGACCCCCACCCTGAAGGGGGTGTGACCAGCTGCAAACAGCCATCATCCCCTCATCCAGGCTGGCCAGGCACCCCAGTGGGGACCCCCACCCTGAAGGGGGTGTGACCAGCTGCAAACAGCCATCATCCCCTCATCCGCCCTGCTCTGTGCATGACGGGGCGGCGCCCCAACTCCCCAATCGGCCCTGCTCTGAGCCTGACCAGGGGCTGCACTTAGGGATTGGGCCTGCCCTCTGCCACCTGGGAGCAGGCCTAAGCCAGCAGGTCATTATCTCCCGAGGGGTTCCAGACTGCGAGAGGGCACAGGCCGGGCTGGGGAACCCCCCTCCCCACCCCCCCAGTGCACAAATTTTTGTGCACCGGGCCTCTAGTTGTTGTATAAATGAAAAATGTTCAAACAAACTAGTCTTTGAATTAGGTCATGTCTGGGTTCAAAGACAACTTTTCTTTGTATCATGTGAATTTAATAGGTCAAATTTAATATGAGTCTTTGACATCATGATTTGAAATGTAGTAATGGAAACTAGTGATTGTCTTAGTTATTTCAATGCTCCCAACAGAAGTGGATGCTGTACAAAGGTGATGCTGAGGTTCATAGCACACAGCACATGGCACACGGCACATTCCACACGGCACATTCACATTTATTCTAGTTCTTTGCTATTCCCGAAGGAGTGTCCTTATGTAATTCATTCTAAAATTTCCTTCATCCTTTTTTTTAAAAAACAAACAAACAAACATCTAAGTCTGTCATTAGGCATAGACTTTATCCCTGAATGTTTGTACTAAACTTGTGTCCTGTTTAATACTGTGTATTTTAAATCCAAGCTAGTATTTCGTGACATCAGCTGCTGGGAGCTACTGTAATAAGTGAATTATGGTCCTATTCAGCTGGCAAGATTGCCTTTGATGCCTGCACTTCAGCAATGATGGGGGTACAGAGGGCAACAGTGCCTCCAGAGGGGCCCGAAGCCCCCAGTGGACCATACACAGAGAGGAGCACGTCCAGGAAATATGGGGATGGAAGTGCATTTGAAACAATCAGCTTTTTCAGGTAGAATTTCATGCAGTTTCTCAGAAGCTGAGACCTGTAGCCCCAAGAACACCATCTAGACACTGTCACTTCTTGGCAGACAACCATTTTTAAAGCTTTATCAGATTTACAATAACATTCATTCTGAGTGGTGATTAACGGATACCCCTAACACAGTAAAGCATTGGGGTTCTAATCTTTCTCCCTGTCTTACACTGTAAATTATTTTCATTAAGATTAAGCATCTCACTAGAGTAACTTAGGCAACCAACACCTCAGAAGGCTCTATCCCAACAGTACATGGACCAAAGAATACTTTAAAGACCTCAGCAGCCCTGACTGGTTTGGCTCAGTGGATAGAGTGTCGGCCTGCAGACTGAAAGGTCCCAGGTTCGATTCCAGTCAAGGGCATGTACCTGGGTTGCGGGCACATCCCCAGTAGGAGGGTGTGCAGGAGGCAGCTGATCGATGTTTCTCTCTCATTGATGTTTCTAACTCTCTATTCCTCTCCCTTCCTCTCTGTAAAAAATCAATAAAATATATTTAAAAAAAAAAGACCTCAGCAATTGCAGATGCCAACATGAAGCATCATTTTTGTTTGTTTTAATGTAGTATCCTTTACATGTTTTGTTTAAAACAATTAAAGTGAATAAGTTTTGCTCTTGAAGTTTCTTCTGTTTACAATCAAAATGATGTACACACTTAGTCTGATATGTATTTTCTTCAAGTAAAGAAAAATCAAATATTGAATATGTTTTGGAAATATGTATAACTGAAAAGTTTGCCTCAGTTTAAATTATTGATGCATTTGATTACCTTATAAACTAAGCTGTAAATTAAACTGTAAGTAAGAGAGTTACAGAATGCTGGGAGGTTGAATTTCCACATACAGTGAAACTTTGATTTTTCAGGAACCCATTGGTAAAACACAGTTATGAGATTAACATATGAAATAACAATTTGGTCCTAAATGGAGTAATAAAGAGAAATAAGATTTACCCTGAGATAGTTTATATGTAAAGTATGATGAGTCTGAAAACATGGTAAAATATAACAACATTTAATCTTCTATTGAAATAACAGCTAAAAAGTTGTTATGCATGAGGAATTATGTACTATGTATCTTACTTGTATTATTTTATTTCATTCTTAGATAGTATTATTACCCTCATTTGCTGATAAAGAAAAAGAGAAGAAAAGAGGGATTTGTAAAGGTCAAGTAATTTGCCAGAGGTTGCAAGGCTAGGGAAATTGCAGAGCCAAGATTGAAACTAGATAATTTGCCTCAGAAGCCTGAATTCTAGCCTATGACACAAGCTTACGATGTTAATGAGACTGACAATAAACACATGTTTTGGTTGTGTATGAAAATGGTTGCATATGACAACCTATACAAATAATGCTATTATAGGTAATATAACAGATAATACAATTACATACAGAATAGAAATAAAAATAAAACATTTGCCTTATGTCCTTTAAAAAGCAATTCTACCTTTTTAGAGGGCAGAATTTCAGGGAATGATAACTTCACAGTACTCTATAATAAACTCCGTTTTTGTTTTTGCATTCCAGATTAGTATTTCTATATCTTATTAATCAACCAATTAAAATTCCTATACATATTGTTATTGCTTTTTAGCTAGACATGACACATCTGAGCCTCAAAGAAGTTAAGAAAATGGACTACCATCATGTAGGTAGTTGGGAGCAGAAATTATATTCAACCCAATTCTTATGATTTCAAGTGTAATACAGTAAATTTTTTTCCACCTTCTGTTGTAAGGTGGCAGAGTGAGGACAAAATTGGTTTGTGAAATCTACTCAACACTACACTTGTTCTTTCTTCGCATAGGGCGCTACCCTCAGGAGAACAAGGGAACCTACATCCCAGTTCCTGTCGTTCCTGAGCTGCGAAGTGGCAAATGGGGGGCCAAAGTCATCAGCACAGAGGACAGGTCTGTCCGGCTGTCCATCCAGTCTTCCCCGGAGTGCATTGTGGGGAAATTCCGCATGTACATTGCCGTCTGGACCCCCTATGGTATACTCCGCACCAGCCGGAACCCAGAAACCGACACCTACATTCTCTTCAATCCTTGGTGTGAAGGTAAAGGGCAGGCGTCTATTTTTATCATTAAAAACAATTCATATATTTACGATGTTTCTATTTTTTGAAGTTATAGCAGAATTGTTGTGGAAGACATGTTTCTTTTCTACATACACTCCCCTCCCCACCACGATTAACAGACAGAAAAAAAAAGTGAGAAATTTGTCCTTAAAGTATATGAGAACAAAACCTGTATACATAACATTAATGCTGCTATACATTTATTCCAGGAAAAATGAAAGATTGCCTAAAGTTGCACAATTAGTTAATTGTCAAATTATATTTTTATGGCATGACCTCTGTGTTTGTGATTTCTCTGTGAACAAAATAGTCTTATGAAACTTGACTTTCAAACCTACTAAGATCCATAATCTGGCTTCAGAAAAATACAATAAAGTTGATCCTGTCCATAGTGGAACTAATTTCACTATCTAATTCAAGAATAGACAGCCTTAAGGTCCAATGATCCCATAAATTTGTTTATATGCATAGTGGATGCAAATTTCATAAGCCATAAGTCTGGATGTGCAAACATATAACTTTATTTTAATGGGATACAACTTAATCTCTGCTGCTATTTTGATTCTTCTTTCTGTCTACTGCAGCTTAACCTAGTTTTACTTAAATAGATGAAACCAAGTCCAAGAATTTCTCTATCAATGCAGTTTAAAAACTCAGTCCTACACCATAGTTCCTCCTCATGCCCATGTCTATCCTTCTGCCTCCACTCTGGCATGGGACTGATTTTAGTTCCAGAGGCAGCAGCACTGATGGGAAAGGAACCACTTTTAGATCTTGAGAAATAAGTAATGAAACATGTAAAATCCGACATCGCGTGGGAGACTTCTCACATCATCTACCCCACATGTATTGCTCTCTAAAATCTTCCAAAAGGACTCAACAGTATTGCTAATTCTGAGTGGCTGTTGTTTGTGAGAGGTGTTTTCTACTTCTATGTAACATTAACCTGGATCCTACTGACCTTTTCTTTGAATTATCTCGTCCACAAATGTTGGCAGATGGCACTGAGCTAATTCTATACTCCCCATCCACCAACCCTATTATCTTGTACCAAATAGCCTTATATATGTGACAGATGTTCAAGGTTGATGGTATCGTGTTAACTGGCCCATGCGCAGTTCAAAGGTGCACTCCTGCTTACAGTCATCTTGTTAACCAGATAGAAGGCGTTCTGCAACTGAGTGAATAGGATGTTATTTGCAGGATGGAAAAGACTGAGGCACAGAGACAAACTAAGATTTTGAAAATATTAAGTTAGAGATAACTTTAGATACCAAACAGAAACTACAGTGGTAGCACTGGAGTGGAGGAGAAGATGGATTGGAGATCTACTTTGGATTTAGAACAGAAAGTGCAGAGGGATTAAACATGGGAGATGAAGGAGAGGTGGAGTCAAGAATTACTATATGTAGCCCAGCTGGCATGGCTCAGTGGTTGAGCATTGACCTATGAACCCAGAGGTCATGGTTAGATTGCCGGTCAGGGCACATGCCCGGGTTGCAGGCTCGATCCCCAGTGTGGGGCATGCAAGAGGCAGCTGATCAATGATTTTCTCTCATCTTTGATGTTTCTATCTCTCTCTCTCCCTCTTTATTCCTCTATGAAATCCATAAAAATATATTTTTTAAAAAAGAATTACTCTATGTATCTGGTTTAACCAACTGGGTTGCTATTTTCAGAGCTGCAATCAGAAGAACATGCAGTCACAGAGGCAGATACATTGGTTGATGCAGGAAGGCAGCAATCAGCTCCCTGGAGTGCTGCCGATGAGCTGAATGATAAGGAAAGACAGTGGCCATGTGTTTGAAAAATACACAAGGAATTAGGGAACGAAAAAAGATAGTTTTATTAGAGAAAGAAGCAGAAGTGAGCTTGTGCAACAGTGTAATGCAAGGTGAGGGAGTGGAGATAACAGGCATTGCCATTTCAGTCAGGAAGACTTCCTGTGACACCAAGATGGTAATGTGAGTATCAAAGGAGAATTTTTTAAAACAGGAGAGAGTAGGCATAATTTTATGGTGATAGAGACAAACCTGAAAAAGGGCTTGCTGCCCAGAGAGAGGGTAGTGGCTCAGATCCTTGGATGCACATTGGAATGACCTGGGCAGCTTTGAAAATTACTGATGCCTCAGTCTCCCATTCAGATATCCTGAGGTAACTTGTCTGGAGAGCAGCATGGGCCTTGGGGTCCTTACAAAGCTTTGCAGGGAGAACTTGGAGCCAAGGCTGAGAAGCACTGACTTCCAGAATGGAATCTTTGAGGGGGAGGGATGCAGGGAACAGAGATCTGAAGGGCTTGACAGATGGAGCTGTCCACCCTCCATTGTGACAGGAATAAAGCAGGAGGTGGGCGAAAGCATGGGTTTCTAGAATCAAGGAGGAGGATGACGTTGTTGCCACTTTGTGACTCTCTTTTGCTCAGTGAAGTGTAAAGCAGTCATCTGTGGAGAACAAGAAGCAAGGAGAGAGTTTTAGAGGCTTAAACATGAGTTGGGAGTGGGAAGTGGGCCTCTTACCTACCGAAACAAGGCAGGTGGGTCCTCCCTGCTCCCCAGAACACAGGGACACTACTGCAACCCCCCCCCCCCCCGCCGCCCGCAATGCTTTGGCCTGTGAAAGTCCAAACATTTCTGCAAATCCCTTAGGGGTTTCTGTCCTTAATTCCATCTCCACCTCCAGGAATCCTATTTCTCCCAGTGCTGACACCAATCTGCCTCAAAACCAATAATGCTCCTCCAAACAACATTCCAGAATGTCTAGAAATTAATTGCGATTTGATGTGGAGGGTGAGGGGTGGAAAGATTTACTCTGGTTCTGAAACTTGATGCACATCAGAATCACCTGGAGGGCTTGTTAAAACAGATTTCTGAGCAGCATCCGAAGGTTGAGCAGGTCTGGGATGGGGCCTGAGAATTTGCATTTGTAACCAGTTCCCAGGAGGTGCTGATGCTGCTAGTCAAGGACCAGACTTAGAGAACCACTGGCTCATGTAATAATCATCAATCAATAAATACAAAACGCAGGAGAGTATTTTTTTTTACTCTTAAAATTGTGTTGAGTCCTCCCTACACCTAACCCCAGGCTCTCCCTATCTCACTGCCTCTTCGTTTGCCCATTCTATTCTCCCTTGTTCTCCAAAAGTCTCTCCAGTCCACTCTTCAAAGAAAACTCTTTTTCTTTTCTCATGCAGAGCAGTTCAGAAACCTTTTTTATTTTGCTGTTTGTGCTCCTCCAATAGTCAGGCTTTTGGGGACCCCACACTTTTTGAAGACCATTCCATCCTTCCAGAAAAATTCTGGTGTCAGCTTTTCAGATAATAACTTTTTATATTCTAACTAGAGGCCCGGGGCACAAAAATTTGTGCACTGGGGGGGGGGAGGGTGTTTCTCAGCCCGGCCTGTGCCCTCTTACAGTCTGGGACCCCTCGGGGGATGACCACCTGCTGGATTAGGCCTGCTCCCCGGGGGATTGGGCCTAAGATGGCAATCAGACATCCCTCTGGCAGACCAGCAGCCCTTGGGGGATGTCCACTTGCCAGCAGGGAGCAGACCTAAGCTGCAGTCAGACTCCCATGTGAGAGCGCCCTGACCACCAGTGGGCAGCTCCTGCATTGAGCGTCTGCCCCCTGGTGGTCAGTGTGTGTCATAGTGACCAGTCATTCCCAGTCTTTCTGCTGTTAGGGTCAGTTTGCATATTACCCTTTTACTATATAGGATAGAGGCCTGGTGCATGGGTGGGGGCCAGCTGGTTTGCCCTGAATGGTGTTCCGGATCAGAGTGGGGGTCCCGCTGATGTGCCTGGCCAGCCTGGGTGAGGGGCTGAGGGCCGTTTTCAGGCTGGCCAGCGACTGAAGCTCCCAGCCTCTTCTTTTTTCCTTTTTTCTTTTTTTTTATCCTGGGATTTATTTACCTTCTATAATTGAAACTTCATTGCTGTCACTGGAGCTGAGAGCTGCTCACTCCAGCTCTGAGGCCTCAGCCTGCTGAAAGCAGGTATCTGGGGTTTGTTTAGCTTCTATAATTGAAACTTTGTTGCTTTCGGAGCTTAGAGCCGGGCCGCGGCAGGCGGGGAACCTTGGCTTCCTCCATCACTGGAGCAAGCAAGCCTCCTGCTCGCTTCAGCTGTGTGGCTGCTGGCCGCCATCTTGGTTGGTGGTTAATTTGCATATCACCCTGATTAGTCAATGGGAAGTGTAGCAAAGGTACGGTCAATTACCCTTTTTGTCTTTTATTAGATAGGATGTGAATATTCACTGATATCTCCCAGGGAATGTTAATGAAATGGGAGAAAGAAGTCATCTCCTCATTTCACTTACTGTGTGATTTTCCCAGCCAACAAGCTAAGGCATAACCCCAAAAGGGGATCTGTGTCATGAACCCCAGACACACTCAAATACATGGTTGCCTGACAGTCACCCAGTTTTGTGCTTGCATATGCTAATTCATAACAAGGGACTCTTGAAGATATGGTCTGACAATTGGAAAGTAGATAAAAAGAGAGGGGTTTGGCCATTGACCAGGTGGGAAAGATAACAGAAGAGAAAGTCAGAAATTGTCAAAAGAGAGCAAGCTGAGCAAGATGCTGAAAACAGCACACTCAATGTGGAAGTGGCATCCAAGGTGGCTTAGGACACTGGGTTGAAATTCTAGGGGCATGTACAGTACTTATTGATAAAAGCATGCTCAGCTGTCTTCCAAGGGGTCCGTCAGCTTGCTTTGCATTCATTGGCGATCTATCCTTAATCACTAAATCATTAATGGGGATCAATAGCAATACCACACTAGTGAGGGCAGGGGTGGATGCAGGGAGAATTATTGGCTAGATTTTTTAATTTAATAGCACCTAATGGGCTTCAGATCAGTTCCATGAGGGAGCCCTTCTCCAGGAGGTTGGAAAGAGAACTGTACCCACAAAGGCAGCAGGAGTAAGTCAGACTGTTTTGTGAATTCTGATTACTCAGAAACTCTGTATTATTGAAT